CGCGGCACCAGCCCCGATGCGCCGGCCCGCGCCGTCCCCCTCGCCCGCGCTCGCTCCCGGCGCACGGCCCGCGCTGCGGCTGCGGGAACTGCAGGCTGTTTGTTTCCTGGGGGAGCGGGAGGGAGGCCAGGCCGGCTGGCGCGGGGCAGCAGCGGGGTTCCGGGTCTCTCTGCACCGAGGGGGCCCTGCCCGAAGTAGCGGACTCGGTTCTTTTAACCGCCTTTCTCAGGCGTCTGCCCCCTCCTTCCCCTGCCCAGTTCCCCTGCCCCAGCCCAGGCCTCAGCGGCCGCACCACACACCACCCCAGACCTGGGGTCCGTTGGGTCGGAACCCCAGCTGCGCTCAGGTGGGACGAGACCTTGAGAGGTCTCGAAGTTGGTGCTGTGGGCCTGGTGCTAGGGTAAATCGTTCTGCGCTCTTAGTAATGCGTCCCACTCTAGACCGTGCTAGTGAGCTGGGGAGATTTTACAAAGTGGACGGGAAGACTTGGTGAGAATACAGAGAAGGAACCCTATAGGGTGGGCGTCCACATGTGATGAGACTACAGGAAAACTCGACTACACTGAAAAGCCCAGGAAAGATTCCACAATTCCCATCTGAAACACTTTCCACTAATAAGGCACTGTTGCTTTTCAACTATTCATTTAACAAAAGTGGTTGGCCCTGTAGGTCTTTTCTCCAGGAATTTATGAGGGCGGAAGGAAGATGGGGTGACGGAATGGGGCAGTTGAGCAAAGAAAACTCTGAATGGGTGGATTCCAAGAACTAAAAAGTTAAAAGGTGGCAGAGTGAGGTGAGAACAGATCTCGACACAGATGCCAGCCCAGGCAATAAAGGGCTCTGGTTTTAAATTGTAGGCTGGGAGGTTTCCGTTTGTGTTCTAGAATAAAAATGTGGGAAGTGGATTGGAGGGGGACAAGAGGAGGATCTGGACATCCATAGAGAGGAAGATTGCTGGGTCACGCAAAGGGCTGCAGGTGGCTGCCCTAACTGGCTGTGGAAGTTGAGGGTGGAACTTGGGCTGGTTTGTCTAAATTTGTGCTTCAAACAGCTGTAAAATGCAGGCAGTTAACAATAGTCTTGATTAATGAGTTGAAACTCTTATAATGGTTTCTCTCACCCAGCAGTTAGCTCTGCACCACCGCTTAGATGGTATCAACCGAGGGATGTGCTGGTTGATGGAGGGAGGGTCAGGACACTATCCAGCTCCCAAGCTGTGAGGAAAAAGACTTGGTGAGTCATGGGTGTGAGGAAGAGGAAGCGTTATTGATGATGGCTGCCCTGTGTCTGGGGTAAGTGGGTACAGAGAGGTAGCAGAGAGTAAAAATTCAGTTTTAACAAAGTAACTGTGAGTTAATCTAATCCCTTCTGCCTTTCTAAACACATTCTGACCTGCCTACTCCTGAAAGGTGGAATAAGCTGGATCTTGTTGTCACCAACTGGGTGGGGGTGGGGCAGTGGCTTGCCCGTCATCAATTTGAAAATGAGATCAAGCATAAGTTAGCCTTCTGAAAATAAAAGATGGAAATAAACACGGAGGAAGCCAGGAGTGAGAGAGAACCAAGTTCTGTGCATGTTACACAGCTGAAGTGTCATCAGATAAAGGCAAACCACATTTTATCCTGAGGCAGTTTCTATACATTTGTAGTACCTCAGTTTCTCTCTGAAGCAAGGATAATGTCTTAATCCATTTGTGCTGATCTAACAAAATACCTTGTGACTGGGTAATTTATAAACCATAGGAATTTATTTCTCCTAGTTTGGGATTCTGGGAACTCCAAGGTGTTTGTGCCAGTATTGGTGAGGGCTGCTCACTCCTTCCACAACGGCATCTTGCTTTTGCATCCTCCAGTGGTGAAGAATGTGTTCATTCATGAGACAGAACAAGAGTGTTCCCTTCAGTACTGAGCTTTATAAGGGTGCTAATCCCATTCATGAGATCAGAGCCTTTTAATACTGTTGCACTGGGGATTGAATCTCAACATGAGTTTTGGAGGGTACACCATCATTCCAACCAAAGCGATATGAAGTGATATGAAGGCTGTTAATCTGCCTTCAGTTGTATAGTTCAACTAAGATAACGTGATTCTGTAAGTCTTGTTTGTTTTTTTTTAAAATACACTAAAGTTTGGATAAGAACACAAATGTTTTTAAACAAAAACTAGATATGGCTAGGGGTAGAGATCAGTAGTAGAGCACTTGCTGAGTGTATGAGTCCCTGGCTTCTATTCCCAGCATCACAAGAACAACATGAACAGAAAACTAAGAATAGACCATAGAGCCAATGGGATGGCTCAGCAGGCCTGATGACCCAAGTTTGATCACTGGAACCTACATAATGGTTGTCTTCAGACCATCACACCAAGTATAATTTCACTTACCAATATGTATGTATAGACTAAACCCAAAACAAAAGGTATTCAATATAATAGTGGCTATCTCTGGATAGTGGAATCATGGGTGATTTTTATTTTCTTTATATCTGTATTTGTAGCTTTTCTACAGTAAAAATTTTAACTAATAAAAAAGCCATTACAAAAGTAGTCTATATAAGCCAGGTAGGGTGGCACACACCTGTAACCCTAGTACTTGGCAGGTGGAGGCAGGAGGATCAGAAGTTCAAGGCCAATCTCCATACAAATTCAAGGTGTGCTGGGCTCAGTCTGGGTCTGAAAAAACAAAAGGGGTTGGAGAGATGGTTCATTGGTTTAAAGCATGTGCTGCTCTTTCAGAGGACCCAAGTTCAGTTCCCGGTACCCACATCAGGCAGCTCACAACCACCTGTAACTCCAGATCCAGGGATTCCAACTCCCTCTTCTGGCCCCCAAAGACAACTGTACTTGTGCACATAATTCCACACAGATGCACATACATTACACTTAAAATCCTTTTTTTTTTTTTTTTTTTTTTTTTTTTTTTTTTTGTCTTTTTGAGACAGGGTCTCCCTGTAGCCCTAGCTGTCCTGGAACTCACTATGTAGACCAGGCTGGCCTAGAACTCACAAAGATCCACCTGCCTGTCCCAAGTGCTGGGATTAAAGGCATGCACCACCACGCCCGGCACTTAAAATCTTTTTAAAAAAGCAAGCAAGAACTGGAGAGGTAGCTTAGCAGCTAAGAGCCATCTGTTGCCCTTGCAGAAGACCTGGGTTAAATTCCCAGCCCCCACACAGTGGCCAGTAACCATCTGTAACTCTAGTTCCAGGGGACCTGATGCCCTCTTCTGGCTTCTGAAGGTACCAGGCACGCATGTGGTGCACTTACATACATATAGCCAAACACTTATATGCATAAAATAAAAATTTAAATTTTAAAGCAAAACGCTTTAATCCTGGCACCTGGGAGGCAGAGGCAGGTGGATCTCTGTGAGTTCAAGGCCAGCCTGGTCTACATAGTTCCAGGACAGCTTGGAGCTACAGGGAGACCTATCTCAAAAAAGACCAAAAAGAAAAAAAAAAATTAAAGCAAAGAAAAAAGTATATCTGTGGAATAATATTCAACCACAAAAGGAGTGTGCTGATGAACACTGCAATGTGGATGAGCACTGAAAACATGCTGAGTGAAGGAAGTCCTCAAAAGAACACATTGTGTCATTCCGTCCATAGGAAAGGACCAGAGTAGGCAAATCTGTAAAGACAGAAAAGTACACTGAAAGTAGCAAGCAGCTGTTGGGGTTGAGTGGGAAATGAGGTGTAGCTATTAGGAAGTATGTCTTTTTTTTGTACCCTTGGCTGGCCTAGAATTTGCTATGTAGACCAGGCTGCCCTTGAACTCACAGAGATCCACCCACCTCTGCAACCTGAGTGCTGGGATTAAAGGGATTTACTACCATACCTGGTCTGGTATAGAATTTCTTTTTGGGGTGATGGTTGCACAATTGTGCATCAACTAAAAATCACTTGTTAGACATTTTAAATAGGTGAATTATAGGCCAGGCGTGGTGGCGCATGCCTTTGGTCCTAGCACTTGGGAGGCAGAGGCAGGCGGATCTCTGTTGAGTTCAACGCCGGCCTGGTCTACATAGTGAGTTCCAGGACAGCTGGGGCTACAGGAAGACCCTGTCTCAAAAAGACCAATAAATAAATAAATAACTAATAAAAGTAAATAGGTGAATTATAAGCTATGTATATATTATTTATATAATAAACCTGTTAAGAGAAAAATCTTATTTTCAGACTATGTTAATCAACATTCTGACAAAACAAATACCTGAAATGATCAACTTATAAAGAAAAAAAGGTTTATTTTGGCTCCCAGTCTGTCACTGGTTGGCCCTGCATCTTTGAATCTATGGTGGGGCAGTACATCATGATGGGAGAGAACAGTATAATAAACCACTCAAGTTAGGAAAGAGACCAACAAGGGGCCTGGGGTCCCACAGTCCCCTTCAAGGGCACACCTCTAATGACCTGAAGACCTCCCAGTAGACCCCACTTCTGAAGGGTTCCACCAGCTTCCAATACTGCATCCCTGAGGACCAAGCCCTTTAACACATGGGCCTTTGGGAGATACTCAAGAGCCAACAATTATACAATCTTTAGGATATGTCTCAGTCTAAAATCTTTGGTAGTTTATACCCAGATTTCCTTTCTAAGCCATGTAATGAAGATAACATGCCAAAAACGATGCTCTTCAGGACTGTGTGAAACAACAGCTGCAAACAAGACTAATGTCTCTCCATCCCACTGTCTCTCCATCAAACATTCACTCACTGAAATCATACTAGAATGGGAAACTGCTTTTCTTATTGGACTCCAGTGACTTTCGGGAAGAGGCAAACTGGATTCCTAACAGATCCTGTTTTGTTTTTGTTTTTTATGTATATGAGTGTATTGTGTGCATGTGTGTAAGTGCACCTGTGTCATGCAATGCCCAGGGAGGTCAGAAGAGGGCGTTGGATCACCTGGAACTGGAATTATGGACAGTTGCTAGCCAC